CCTCCAGCCAGTTGGCGACCCATGTGACTGTGTAGGTGTCGACACCTGCTGTGAAGGGCCCATGTTCTGGGGGCAGTTACTCCACTGCTGCCCACCCTGGAGGCCCCTGCCAGTTTGGGGCCCCTTGCACCCACCACTGCAGGGCTGGCCTGGGCAGGGGGCTGGGGCAGGCTGTGCTGGTGCTCAGGGCAGAGTCACTCTCTTGCAGGCTGACATCCTGCGCTCCTCGCTTGAAGCTGCCCGTGCCGACAGTCAGCGGCTGCAGCGTGAAAGTGAGCTGGTGCTGGCAGATGTGCGGCAGTGGGCCACGGAGCAGAAGTGAGTGGCAAGGGCAGGGCCCCCACCTGCTGCATGGGGCTCAGCCTGGCCCCATGCTTCCTGCCCAAGCCCTCACCATCTCTCCCTGCTTCCATTCCACTGCAGGCGAGCCAACAAGAGGCTGGGGCAAAAGCTGTGGGAGCAGAGCAAGCAGCTGGTGCGGCTGACGGGAGCGGGAGTAGGTAGCCCACGACCATGACCCCCCCACCCCCCGCGGACAACTCCCAGTGCAGGGAGGGGGAAGCTGGCATGGTGGGGCAGTGTTGGCTGTGCTGGGGCGGCAGGGGGCTGCCTCCCTGTGCTGCCAGCGGGTGACCACTGTGCTGGGCACGTGGACAGGCAGCAGCAGGGCTGCAGCTCAGCCTCCTCTGCCTGGCCACAGGCACCTGCAGGAGGTCCTGGCCCAGCTGCAGCAGCAGAACAAGCGTCTTGCAGCCGCAGCAGAGCAGCAGCGCATTACCTGCGAGCGCCTCAGGGTAAGTGGGCATAGCCGCTGCAGGGACCAGCACCCAGGGCTGCCATGGGGTCAGAGGGCACTGGCCCTTCCTCTTCCCTCACTGGAATGGAGGCTGCAGGGTGGGGGGTGAGGCTACCACAACCTCAGTGCCTGCTCATCTCCCTTCAGGCACTCCAGGGCCGCAGCGTGGATGCAGGGGCACTGTTGCACTGGCCGTGGCTGCCACTGCCCGGAGAAGACTGAGGTCCTGCCTCTGCACAACAACTGCTTCCACCTCCCAGCACTGCTGACTATGAGCCCCGGCAGACAGTACAGCCTTGTCCCTGGCAGAAACCACACACAGCAGCTCTGGGGGGCAGGGGGCACAGGGCTGCTGGGGGGCTGCAGGGGGCCAGCACCTGCAGGGACTGTGACTACCCCAGCAGGCAGGAGCACAGCCCCTGGTGTCATTAAAGTGGTGCAAGAACAGCCTCCGCCACCCCAGTGTTTCCTGCAACAGGGCAGGGAGCACGAGGAGGGTGGAGGGGGCACGTGCCAGCAGCTGTGGTGCTGCCTTTTCACCACCACCTTGCGCAGAGGTGGTCGTGGGGCAGGCAGAGCTGTGCCAGGTTGACAGGCTGCAGTGGAGGGTCAAGTCAGGGTAGGCTGCCCACAGGGCCCCGCTCAGACAGCCCTGTGAATGCACAGTGCCCCCTGCCACACAAAGGGAGGCCCCTGTGCCCCGCACTGCCCACAGCAGGGGCAGATCCTTGCTCCCAGGCCTGTTGCCCACAGGCAGCACTGACTCACAGGGCCCCAGGCTGGCCCTGCTCCACCTGGGGCCTTTGCTCCAGCAGGAGACAGCAGCCACCCTTCCCCTCCCCTTGGCCCTGCCCTGCCCTGGCGCAGCGTTGCAGCAAGGACAGGAGGCATGAGCATATTTACAAATGAACACGTCTCCCTTCTGTATCAAAGTGGTGCCAGGCACTGGGGTGACCAGCGCTGGGCGCACAGTCCACGGGCAGGGCCCACACAGCCCTGGAGCCCTCAGGGCAGCCAGTGCCCGCAGAATGTGGCCACCGGGCACTACAGGCCGAAGCGGGCCGGAGTCCGTCGTGGGGTCATGGGCTCCCCCTGCTCCTTGCGCCCAGGGGTATAGATCTTCACCGACCTGCCAGGAGAGGGCACAGCTGGTCAGAGGGGCCAGGCCTGGATCCCGCCAGCCTGTGCCAGCTTGATACTGCTTGGAGAAGGGCCCAGCCTCAGCAGTACCCACCCAGCAGAGTCCACAGCCCCAGACAACCCCATACCCGCCAAGGAAGGCCGGGGGGTCACGGCCAAGTCCAACACTGCCAGTGCCCAGCCCAGGTCCTACCTCAGACTGCCCAGGGGGTTGCGGCGCTCCTGTTCTTCCCGGCGCGCGCGGAGCTGCTCCTCAGCCAGTGCCATCTCCTCCTCCATGGCAGACGCCTCCTCCTTGGCCCGGCGACGGTTCTCCTGCCACAGCCAGACAGTCGCATGTGGGTTGGGGGTCTAGCTCGGGCTGCTGCAGGCTCCCTGCAGAGCTGCAGCCTCGCAGCAGGACCCCAGGGCCCAGCCCTGCCTGCACCCCGGCCCTAGCGCACAGAGGGGGCAGCACCCTGGCTGGGGCCAGGCCCTTCCCTCCATGCCCCAGCCCCAACGGTCACACAGACGTACCTGGCGTGATTTGCCAGCATGTTTGATGCTGTAGAACATGGGCCCCAGCTCTGCCAGCCACTCCCCGTCAACAGCCGTGACACATTGCATGTATTCCTGCAGGCAGAGCCACCGTCAGCTCCCCGGCCCAGGGCCTGCAGTCCCCATACCCGCTGCTCCTCCCTCTGCCCAGCCTGCCCACAGCTCACCTTGGTGGTCATCACCAGCTCATGGTAGACAATGTAGTCGGGTGTGTAGCCCATGCCAAAGAGGGAGCTGGTGGGATGCAGGTGGCATGGCATCCCCGTGCGGATGTTCACGTACTCCCCAATGCCCTGTGGAAGGGAAGCCTGGTCAACACCGCCACAGGCAGGTGCCCCCGCCTCCTCCAGCCCCCCGGAGTGTGCTCACCTTCAGCTTGGCTGCCTGGTGGAAGTAGGCAGCGCAGATGCACTTGCGCACGATGTCCCAGTCGGTGCCGCAGGAGGCCAGGCTCATGCGCTGCTGCACCATGATGTCCTTCAGCTGGGCCCGTACCTCCCGCACCTGCCGTAGCATGTACCAGTCACGGCCTGCCCTGCTCCCTCTGGCCCCCAGCTGAGCCGCCTCCCCGCCTCGAGCTGCCCACCTTGCGCATGGCCTTGGCATGAATGAAGTGCTGGTTGCACCATAGCGTGGAGTAGCCGTTGTTCTTCCACTGCAGGTAGACGTTCAGGTAGGTCAGGTGGTCGCTCTCCGGGACAGCAAACTTCTCCCGCACCTGGTCGCTCTCCTCCTCCCGGCCCTGAGGGTGCAGAGCAGAGCGTGAGGTCAGCCATGCCACCAGTGGGGGGAAGCAAGAGGCTCCTGAGGGGGGTGGGCAGCAGGTACCTTGGGCCGGTAGAAGATGGCGGGCACAGAGAGCATGGAGACAATGAGCAGGATCTCAGAGCTGCAGCCCATGTCGCAGGAGACTATGAGCATCTTGGAGAGTGCCGGGTCCAGCGGGAACTCCACCATGAGGCGCCCTGTGGGGGTCAGGCCACCTGCAAGAGCAACACGGGGCTGGTACATAATCAGAGGTGCCACTCTCCAGGTCAGACCGCAGGTCTGTCTTGCCCAGTCTCCCGTGTCGCACAGTGGCACGGAGCGGATGCTGACGGGGAGTGATGTGATCTGATCTGACCGGGGCTTCTCCTCTCCCACTTGCAGCCTCCAGCACTGAAGTTCTAGGACGTTCTGACTCAGAGGCCATGGCCCTCACTCCCTGCTCAAGAGCTACCAATTATACCCCTCTCAGGAATTTGTCCAATCCCTTTTTTGAATCTGGCTAGACTGTCCATTTCCACCACGTCTGGTGGCAACGAGGCCCACGCTGTATTGACACCGGGTGGAAAAGAACATCTGTTGGTCAGGTTTTGAGAGCCCTCATTCTTTCGTTGAGAGAGAGTAAAATAATAAAGCCCCGTTGACTTTCTCTTCATCGTTTAGTATTTTGTAAATGCTTCTCATGCCGCTCCTCAACATCTCTCATGAACCGCGCAGACCTGGCTTCCTCCTCAGTCTCTCCTCACATTGAAGCCCCTCCACACCACTGATCCTCACTGCCCTTCTCTAATTCTCTCTCTTTTCTGAGATGCAGGGACCAAGGCTGGGCACTGTATTCAAGGTGTGGACACACTGTGGATTTACAAAGAGGCATCACGCTACTTTGTTTTGTTCACAATTCCCTTTTTAACAATCCCTAATGCTTTGCTGGCCGCCTTCACGCCCGCTGAGCACTGACTGATGCTTTTAGTAAAGTGTTCACAGCAACTCCCACAGCTCTTCCCTGCACTGTAACTGCTAGTGTAGAGCCCATCACAGTGCAGGGACAGGCTGGGCTACTTGTACCCTGGAGTGTCACTTTACTCTTATCTGCATTGAATTTTATCTGACAGTTAATTGCCCACAGGCTCATTCCCACGGTCCACCTTGCTCTTTATGGCTTGGAATGACTGCATCATCCACAAATGTGGCCACCTCACTACTCACCCCTATTGCCGGGGGAGCCCCGTCAGTGGCACCTGCCCCTTCCCCTGCCCCCCAAATGCAGCGTACCGGTGTTGTCCAGGGCGCCCAGGATCCAAAGCTGGTACATGGAGTTGAGCATGTTGTCCTCAGGCGGCGGGTCCATGAAGTGGAACTGCAGCAGGTCCTGCACGCCCAGCGATGTAAGCAGCAGCACCACGTTGGCCAGGTTGGTGCGCTGGATCTCAGGTACCGTGGTGGGCAGCAGCTCGTTCTTGTAGGCGCTCTGCGTGTAGAGCCTGGGAGCAAAGGCTGTGAGTGCCACTCCCTCTGCCTGCCCTCCCATGGCAGCAGCTGCTCTGGTGCACGGCGCTACAGCCAGGCCCGGCTCCAGGGGCTGTGGTCAAGCACTGCCAGGGGCCTCACCCAGCACTGGGGCTGCGAGTGCCATCAGGCCCTGCAGGCATATGCACAAGCCTCCCACGCACCGCAGGTGAGAGCCCTGTCTTGGTGGCTGACTTCCCCTTCCCGTCCCCAGCAAAAGAACTCTAGGACGAGGAGCAGCTGGAGCCAACCCTGCAGAGGCAGGAGGCATCTGCTTGGTGCCCGGGGGCAAATGTGACCAGCTCTGGTCTGGCTCCTACCTGAAGCACTGACCTGGGCCCGTCCGGCCAGCACGGCCTGCCCGCTGATTGGCATTGGCCTGGCTGATGGGGTAGATCTGCAGGGCATCCATCCCGATGCGGGGGTTGAAAACCTGACGGGGTGTGAGCAGCAGAATGAGCCCGACTGCAGGGGAGGAGCTGCTCCATGACCCACACAAGCCCCACAACCACCCCCACCAGACCCTCTCCTCACCTTCAGCTTGCAGTAACCAGAGTCAATGACAAACATGATGCCATCCACTGTCAGTGAGGTCTCAGCAATGTTAGTAGCCACAATGCATTTGCGAACCCCATCGGGAGCCTGTAAATACCCCAGACACCAGCCTCAGCTCCTGGGCCCAAGAAGGTGGAAACAAAAGGGTCCCCCAAACCTGGAGTTGGGGGTCTAAGGTAATGCTGGCATCCTGGGTGAAGGGGTACCTCAGAAAGGGGTCAGCACTAGTACCAGCAGGGAGGGGGCAGGGTGACAATGTCTGTACCTGAGGGGAGCAACCCCTGGCTCATACCCACCCCAGTCAGATCTCCCCCTCCCTGCACCAGCACAGGCCTGGTGGCCCCGCCCGCACCCCAGGCAGCACCTTCTGGAAGATCTTGGCCTGCAGGTCAGAGGGCAGCTGGGAGTAGATGGGCAGCACAGCGAGAGCTGGTGCTTTCTCCAGCTCCTCCAGGTGCTCCACAATCTGCTCAGAGGTCACCTAGGCATAAAGAAGGGGGTGACCAAGCATGCCAGTGTGGGGAGGGGAAGAAGGGAGCCGCATCAGGCAGTCCATGGAGGGGCAAGGGGGCAGCAGCATAAGACACTCGCCCCAGCTCACCTCAATGTCCTCCTGCCCGGGCATGAAGACCAGGATGTCTCCAGGGGCCCCAGACAGATGCACCTGCAGCGCCTGCTTCACTGCAGCCTCCACATAGTCCTCCTGCGGGGTCTGCAAGGCAGGAAGCAGCTGACAGCGGAGCCCAGCCAGCTGCACCTCTCCCTCCCCACAGGCCCAGGCACAACCCACCTCACTCTGGTCCCAGCCCCACAAAATCCTAGAGCAGTGAGGCTGGAAGGAATTCCCAGAGTTCATATCTAGTTCAACCCCTGTCTGAAGCAGGATCAGCCCTGCCCAAACCAACACAGACACATCTATCTAACAACTACACTTTACGTAAGACAACCATCAACCCTGACACACCACCACATGTAGCTCTCTAACCTGCCATAGGCAAAACAGGGGAACCATGGCAGTCAACGACCTGCTTCTATAAAAAATTGCTAATATGAATTGCTAATAAATTGCACTCAAGAGATCCTGCAACTTCAAGCCATTGGTCCATGCTCTGCTCTCTGCAACAAGGCAGAAAAGGTGCTTTTCCTCTTCTTGATGGCAGCCCTTCAAGTATCTGAAACCTACTATCATGTCCCTTAAACACCTTTTCTACAACTGAACATCCCCAGCTCCTTCAACCTCTGGTCTTACAACTTGCTTTCCAAACCCTTTATCATCCCTTGTCGCCTTCAGCTAACTTCTCTACATCCTTTTAAAAATGTGGAGCCCAAAGCAGCACAGTATCCAGATGAGACTGGACCAGTGCCCAGCAGAAAGGCACCATCACTTTCCACACCTTACACCACTTCTATTGCTGCAACCCAAAACCACATTTGTGTGCACATGACCCGCCATGAGGGCTCCACCCAGAGCACCTTGCTGAAGAGGATGTCAACAGGGAAGGTGCGGCCTGGAATGTGGAAGATGGGAACATTCCCAAAGAACGAGGCAAACTTGTCAGCGTCCATGGTGGCCGAGGTGACGATGAGCTTCAGGTCAGAGCGCCGGGCCACCACCTGGAGGCAGAGAGCACAGGGGCAGCAAGAAGCACACAGCCCTGGAGGGATCTGAGGCCACGCATGACCTCTGCTGCACGGGACAGGACTTGCTGCCCTGCCCTGGATGTTGCAGCTTCTCTGCCCAGCACCTGCAGGCTGCTGCTGCCCAGCATGAGACTGGAGCAGCTGGCAAACACTTCTGCAGGCTGCTGAGCTGCAAGGCCAGCCTGAGAAGCTCCCACATGGCACAGAAGCCCTGCTCCACCTCTGCTCCCACTTTGTCATGCCTCGCACCCAGCTGAAATCCCCCATGCTGGAAACTAGGCTGCAGCTTGCACACTGCCCATGGTGGGCCCCACCATGCCCTGCCCTGCTCCGCAGCACGGACCTCCCTCAGCAGCCCAAAGAGCACATCAGTGCTGAGTGAGCGCTCGTGTGCTTCATCCATGATGATGGCACTGTAGTGGTCTAGGTCAGCCTCACGCAGTGACTCGCGCAGTAGGATCCCATCAGTCATGTACTTGATGACTGTGCTCTCTGATGTGCAGTCCTCAAAGCGGATGGCGTAGCCCACCTGGGAAGACAGAGGTCAGTGCTGCCAGGTCCAGGGCCAGGACTTAGGCAGCTGCTCCCGCCCCAGCCCAGCCTGGCCTGACTCACCTCCTCCCCGAGGCGCCCCCCCATCTCCTCACTGACACGTTTGGCAACGGACATGGCTGCCACTCTGCGAGGCTGGGTGCAGCCAATCATGCCGTAGTCGGTGTAGCCGTCCTCGTGCAGATACTGGGTCAGCTGTGTGGTTTTCCCGCTCCCAGTCTCCCCCACCACAATCACGATGCTGTTGTCCCTGAAGGGGCGAAAGAGCTCCATGCTGCATTCCTGGGCAGCGGTGCTGCAGCCAAAGAGGCCACTCGCAGCTTGGAAGGAGGCAGTGATGGCCCAGTCCTGTAGCCTATGAAGGTAGCCCTTCCCACATCGGCTGCCATCAACTGCACAGGGGGTGGTTGGGGTTCTCCCCCACATGCTACGTGGTCAGGCAGGACACCCAACAGCCTGGGTCTAGTGGCTCCTGGCAGTACCTGATAACGGTGAGCAGCTCCTGCTGCACAGCGAAGATGGGCAAGTACTGCCGCTGCTCCAGGATTGACTTCTTCTTGGCAAACTCACTGCTCGCCTCACTCTTTTCTTTCACGTGCTCAGCAAACTTCTGCTCTGTCCTGGGACACGAAATCATGCCTGAGCATGGGACCACTGCCTGACCCCACACCCCCAGCCACAAGACCCAGGCAGCCCCTACCTGTAATCTACTCTGCCATCTTCCGCCACAGCCTGGTCCTGCTCCTCCTCCTTCTTGATGCCCATGATATCTCCCAGCTTGGTGCCCGCCAGCTCCCAGTGCTTGTGCTGAGCCTGGAGGACAGAGAGCAGGAGTCACCGCAGGCTGGCCAGCTGGAGCAGACCCCCACGTGCACCCCCTCTGGGGCCACACACCAAATGGGCATTTGTGCATCCAGAGAATGCCCCCAGCCTGACCCTCTGCAGCCCCAGCCTGTCCCCTCCTGCACTGTGCTCTGGGTGCTGGCTGGCAAGAGCAGACAGACAAAGGTCTCAACAGAGAGCACTCAACAGTGGAGCATCCATCATGCCCAGGCCCCACCCTGGCTGCTCCAGTGGGTAACCCCTCTTGCTCTTGTAGCCATGTCCTCTCTCCAGCTGGAGCACAAGGCCAGCTGTGGCCTCCAGATGCAGGATAAGGCAGGGTCAGTGACTGCGATGCAGCTGTCAGAACTGCCTGCTCCTCATACAGCATAAGTACAAAATGGCAGCACGTTTGAGCCTGTCTTGTTCCTCGTGGAAGCAAACTGCAGCAAATGCAGATGTGGCAACTGCCTCCTCCTTGCCCATAGGTTGGACATGACTGTCTGCGCCTGGATTGGCTCAACTTCACCTTCTGTCCCCATACTGCAACTCATGACCTCAACGAACACTTCATAGTGGTGGCATGCGCAGAGAGATCCCTCCACCCCCCAGGGATGCGACAGCTTTGTGCTGCGAAGGAGAGAGCTGGGCAACAGCAAGCCGAGCCCCTGCCAGGCATGACGCACGAGGGTGGCCTCCCTTCATCCGAAGATACACAGCCCAGGTTCAGCTCTCTCGTCCTGAAGGAGCCACTCGCTCGCCTTGCCTCACCAGGTGCTAGCCTCTGGCCAACTCCCTGCTCCAGTCACCCCCAGACCTGTGAACCGCCCTGATGCCCTCCCCCGTCATTTCCGAGAACTTCCAGACTTGTGGACTCTCTCTGCCTCACTCAGCTGATGCCCTTGGCTGCCCTGCCAGTCGCTGGACTGCCTGGTTACTTACTTGGGACTCATCTACCTGTTTCCGCTTTCCCTCTCGTTCCATGCCTCAACTGGAAGCTTAGAGGAAACACCCACTTTGTTCTGTCTGTTCTACGCCCAGCACAGCAGGGTCCAGCCCCTCGCCTATGCCCCCAACATCAGGGGCCCGTGGGCAAACAGGTGAAGGCAGCCAAGCTTTGCCCCATACCTTCTTGCGCTCTTTCTGCTCCCTGTGCTTGCGCACCAGCTGGCTGCCTTTGCGGGCGATGATTGCCAAGTCTGACGTGGCATCCTTGACCGGGATGACTGGCTCCGGCTGTGGGAACAGGATTGGAGAGATGCTGGTGAGCCCCAGCCACGAGCCCTTGCCAGCCCTTGCAGAGCGCCCTGGTGGCAGCATGTCAGCACTGGCCAAGTCCCACCTGCTTGGTGAAGACAATCCTGCCGTCCAGAAATGGGGGCACCAGGTTGTGAACCAACAGGTGCACCTTGGCTGCGTTGTCTTCCTCGAAGTCCTCATCCACCTCAAGCCGATGGACCACACCACTCGTCAGCATGCGGTTGGTTTCCCAGCGCTCGTTATCCTGTGAAGGCACATGCAGCAGCATCAGCTCCCTGCCTAGCACCTCAAACAAGGGCCCTGCCTAACCAGCTTCCTTCACAGGTGCTGGGGAATAGTGGAGATGCCGCACGGCCCAGCTGCACTGTAACACGGCCCGCAGCCATCACCAAAGGGACTCTGACTGGCCCAGGACTGCTCCACGGCCTAACAACAGGCAATAGAACCAGCAACATGGCAGACCGTGGGACAGCCAGGCTGCGTAGGCTCAGGAGGCTACACAGCCAAGGGGCAACAGCTTTCCTGATGGGAAGGGGAGAGAATGTGGGCAAGAGTGGGCAGAGTCGTTCTGGGAAGACATCAGCAAAAGCTCCATGGGAAAACAGTCAGCGGTTTGAAACCACATCTGACTCCAGCTGAGCTGCACTGCGAATCACAGGGCAGAGCTTGGAATGCATCTACGCAGATCTACCAGCCAATGCAGAAGACAAGCGACGGCTTCCCTGGGCTCTAGGGAGACTGCACTGGAAGGCGACACTCAGGTCTGAGTCGCCCATTAGCAGGAAAACCTTGATCCAGGGAGAAATCCAGAAGACAGCCCCAGAAAAGGCTGGGCAGATGGAGAACCAACCGCCAGGGAACCAGAAGTGCCAGGTCTGCCTAGCTGAGGCATCCATGGCACCAGCAGATCCTCTCACGATCCAGCCCCAACCCAGCACAGAGCTGCAACCCCTGTGCACATACAGGACGCACACACTGGCTGAAACAGGTGGTGAGGCCGGCTCCCCAGAAGTCAGCCTGGCCTGGCCCAAGACCGGCTCCTACCTCATTGATCTGCCTCCGCTGTGCAGAAATGCGCTTCTGCTTCTGCTTGGTAAGGTGCTGCTCCCGCTTCCGCACATACTCCTCTGATGAGTAGGCCAGGGGGTTGTGGAACTCATCGTAGCCCTCGTCCATCATGTACCAATCCCGGTCGGCTTGCTATGCACAGATGGCAGCCAGGGGGAGAGGAGCAAGCAAAAGGGAAAAGCTGGAAGACTCAGGAGGCTGTGCATCCTGCCCACACGCAGGCACCTGGAGGCTGGGGGCTTCCAACCTAGGAGCGTGCAGCTGGGTGCCTGGGGAGGGCTGTCCCACGCCTGAACAGAGCAGCCGCACAGAAACACGGCAGACGTGCTGTGCCCAGGCTGGCCACGCGGGGGAGCCAACAGCTCGCACAGGACCCAGGAAGAGCCCAGGCAGCAACCCGTGCAGGCCGACCCCCGCGTCCCCAGGCAGCCCATGCAAGCCGCCAGCCCGTTCCCAGGGCCCCATGCTGCAAGCACCCCCAGGCCATGCCACGAGCACACTGCCCGGGCTCTGCACCGAGCCACGCTTGCTCACCCCACCCGTCCCTGCCCCATCCCAATGTACTAAGAGGCCCACACCTAGGCCTTTTCTACAGAAACCACAACTGATACCGCACTGACCCCCTCTTCTCCTCATGCAGGCACCTGCTACTGCTCTACCTGCCCTGGCGTCTCACGTACCCATGCTGGTCCTAGCTCTGCCCAGCAGACTTCAAGGGGACATCTCCCATGACAGTCCTGGTGCCACCTCGCTGGGACAAAGCTCCAGGCTTAGGACCTCAAACCCAGAGACACACAGCACCCCTCCCTCCAAGGCTCTTACCCGCTGGTCAGCCTCCCACTGCTGTCGCTCCTCCTCAGTCTCGAAGGCAATCCCTTCCTCCCCGTCCTCACGCCTCCCTGAGAGAGAACGAGCTAATCAGCACAGAGCCCTCGCAAGTGCCAGACCTCTGCTGAGCACCCAAGGAACCAACTTCTTGGCTGTGCCTCATGGGCGAGGAGCCAGATCCCCACAGCCCCATCTCCCTGCCCCTTACCTTTCCCCCGGGACAGCCGCGGTGTGGAGCCCAGGTGCTTCCGATCGTCTGCCCACTCGTTATACTTATACGAAGGAGTAGGAAGCGGTGTCCTGTCTGGGTACTTGCTCCTAACAGACCTGCAACAGCACCAGCACAGAGAAGTGCCGCTAGTTAGCAGCCCAAGCGCTCTCCTCCTCCTCCTGCAAGGCAGACACCTACTGCCCCACAACACCTCCATGGGGCATTCCCCTCCCCCACTATCTCTGCCTGCCCCGACCTCTTCTCACCCCAGTACTCCCACCCAGTCTTAGCTCTGGCACCTTTCCCGATCCCTCCTGTCCGTGTCCCGCGAGGAGGGCGTGCGGTGGCCCCGATCCCGGCAGGAAGGTGCAGGTGAAGGCGACTCCCAGTGCGAGCGGCGCGAGGTGCCGTAGCCACTATCATCTTCCTCCCAGCTCGAGCAGGACGGCGTGGCAGCATCTAGGAGGGGAGCGGGTCTCTGACACCGGATGCCGGCTGCAGCCCCCTGCCGCCCGGGCTCAGGGACTACTGCAGGCAGCAGAGGCCGGGCCTGGTCTTGCTTGCACAAGGGCCCCCAGCACACTTGAACCACGGATCTGGTCTCCGGGGTGAGGAGGAAAGCCCCACGTGGGGCACCCCAGGCTGGAACGGGGTGGGCTCCGCAATCCCCCAAAGGCTGCAGCTCCCCCATGGGGATCGCACCTCACCCCGCAACTCCGAGCAGGCCTGGGCCACTGCCCCGGCACCCCCGCCCCATCCCCCACACTACCTTTGGGCCGATGCCTGGGGCTCTCTGGCTCGCTCCTCCTGCTGCCACTCCTCTCAGACCAGCCATCCCGCTCCGACCGGCTACTGCCGTGGTGGCTCCTGTCTCGCTCCTCTGCAAGGGCAGCACTGTCAAGTACCGTGCGGGGAGCCACCTCCCACCACACCGCGGGCCAGGGCCGGACACTCAC